CCAGCCGTGAGTCCTGGGCGGTTTGCAGGCCTCGGAGCTGCCGGCTGATGGGAAAGGCACAGCCCTGCTGCACATGCCACACAAACCGCCACGGCGGAAGACAAGTCTGAAGGTCTTAGCACTGGAGCAATGGGGCAGGACAGTCCGTTTTCCTTCGGGAAGCTGGTGGAGAACAGATCAGCTGAGCTGTGGCTGTTGGACGGGCAGGAAGGGAGAGGAGGAATGCCAACTGTGTGCTGAAGAGGTGCAAGGAATCCCCACGTGCTGGTTTTAGTGTGCTGCTGAGTCCCCATCGCAGCACCGATGGGGCTGGGAAGGAAGAGGAGGAGGGCTGGGAGGAAGGGGAGGAGCACCAGGCCACCTGGCTGCAGTCTGAGCTGCTCAGGCCCTTCACAACTTCTGGATCTTCTCAGCGACCACGATGGGATTCTCTTTACGGATCTTCTCGGCAGCTTCAGCCTTGTAGTCGTAGGGGCAGGCATGCATGTCGGAGTACCGGTGAATGGCACAGAAGAGGTTCCCGCAGCGGCAGTCGAAGCCTGAAGGGAAGAAGAGCAGAGAAACAAAGCCGCGTTAGTCCCCGTCCAGCCAGACGGGAAGGTGGCAGGGCCCCCGCTCTTCACTGACAGGTCAGGAAACCCCACTAATGCAGAAAGAAGGTCAGATGAGGGAAGGGGCTGCTGCCTCTGACAGGCAAAAGGGGGTCTCAGCGTGGGGGAAGACCACGGGCAGCTATTAGCTTTCCTCTGGTTAGCTGCTCCCGTGAGCGCATGTGCGCTCTGGGCAGCCCCAGCTGTCGCAGCGGTGGGAAACACTCCCAGAGCAGCTGCTCTCTGCGCTCTCCAGGGACAAGGGACATGCCGGCAACTGCAGAGTGGCAGATTGCTGATCCAGACGAGGCTGCGCAGGCAGCGAGCAGGCAGGCTGAGCTGGAGCTGAGCCCTCTGAGCCAGCCTGGCTCCCCCGGCGACACGCAGCAGCATCTGGCCTGACCAGTAAGCCAGAAAATAACAAAACCTTCACCCCAAAAATTATCACTTTAGAGCTATTTAGGCTTCAAAATTCATAATTTAGTCACTTCAGTTGGAGACAATGCTGTTCAGAAGTGCTACCATTATCACATCACGCTGGGAAACTGAGGCACGGAGCAGGGAGGGGGCTCACCGCAGAACAGCAGATCAGCTCCCCATCGCACTGGTGGTGAATCACGCTCTTTCCTTTCACCTTTCCAACTACCGACTGCAAAGACCACAAACACCCTGCTACAAGGTGCCAGTTTTCTCCTATTTGGGAAAACTCATTTCACCCTAAATGCCCTGAATTCATAGGAGTTCTCTGCAAGCTGACGCCTAAAGGACAGGAAACTTCTCACAGTTTGAAGCTCTTAAGAAAACACTCACCCAGGCAAACAATCCTCCCTGCAGACCTGAAGGCCGGGCACAGAGCACCCTGCCCAGTCCCAGGCTCACAAACCCACGTTTACTCTACGACAGCGCCCTCAAGTCTCAAGGCAAGCTCGGGCTTCGCCGTGCCAGGCGCTGGGCAAACCCCCGGGCCAGACTCTGCCGAAGCAGCTTACATCGACACCACAGAAGTGTGTGTGCAGTCCCAGGCTGCTGAACGCACCAAGGAGGCTAAAGAGGCAAGCACACTGCTAGAACAGCGAGACCTGCACGGCTCTAGAGTTAACTTTGTCCAGGGAAACAACTAAATGCCAGAGTCAATTTAGGGGAATGACGTTTTTATTAACAAACCACAATCAAGTTAACTGCCTCATGAATTGCCCTTCTGGGGGCAGTTTTCCCACTGACACCAGTCACCCAACACCACCTCAGCACCTCTCTCCTCAGCTTCACAGGCTGAACACCGTGAGCCATCCTGCTCTCATCCTGAGTCTCAGAGTGGGATTTTCAGTTTGGGCCTAACTTGGTTCATACCACTACTATGAAAGCTTTATTGCTGACTTGAATAGGAGCAGAACTAGATTCACAGCAAGCACTGCCTTTCCTTTCCTTCTACAAGCAGCTTTTGCCAAGGGGCAGAAATAACCCAAGAAGCATGGCTCCATCCAATTCCGCAATCCCGCATCCAAGGGCTGGCAGGTTCCCTGACAGTGAGCGGCAGGTTCCCCAGACTACTGCCTTGGATGGCACTGCCTTGGATGGCACTGCTTGCAGGCCGGAGCCCCCCTCCACCACCACCTCTTGCAGATGTTAAGTACTTTCTGGAGGGGTACCTCCAACCGCTGACCCACGCCGACCCTCTGAACCCAGGCAGCACCACAGCACAAGGAGATCTGTTTGCAGGGCTACGCAACCAGAGTACTCCGGCCTCACGCAAGTTCTCCCCGCAGCCAGGCTCTTACCAGTTAGCCCTATCTTCTTCCGGCAAGTGAAGCAGCGGTTCTTCTTCTGTTTCGGTTTTTCCGAAGCTGCCTTGCCCTCAGCTGTGTTCTGGGATATTTCAAGCAGGGTACCTGAAACAGAGGCAAGAGTTTTGCCACCCTTTGCAACAAACCAAGCAATACAGTCGTTTTATTACAGGAGCTGCTCAAGGCCCTACCGATTCTGGGTCTGTGCCAGAGACCTGTGTGTGCACGTTCCTGGCCCACATATCCCAGACTGTGAGATTTTCCTGTTCCACAGAGATCTACACCTCACACAGCCTCGCGTTTTCTGTTTCAAACTCCTTAAGTCTCAGAAACCCTGAAGGGAGATTACCGTTCAGCTAAGGCATTCGTAAGGTAACATGAGGCTGTTTAGCTCCCGCTGAGAAAAGCACAATTACCTGGTGCCTGCCATACATTAAGCATGTGTCTGGATAGTCACTACAGCTTAGCTGACGTACAGTAACTCGACTGTACAGCTGAGCCCAGCGTTAATCTTTGCAGGGGAAAAAAAAGTTAACCCCTTGTACATACTACTAATTATTTTTGCTGGCTCTTATGTAAGTGTTCCTCATATGTAGGTCTCAGAATGCTTTACACAGATACTCATCACTGTCTCTAATCTACCAAAAGGAAAACTGAGCTCTGAAAGCCAGATTGTTAAAGGTCACTGATGCTTAGCAGGATTTCTTACAGTACCTAAGCAGGTTAGAGAAGCCAACAGGAGGGAGCAGCTCCAACTGCTAGCAGATACCCACCTGCAGTGTAGACTGCTCTGAAAATCAGGCTAAGGAGACAAACAGTCAGAGGCTGTTTGCGGATCAGCAACTTTGTGGATCTGACCCTGAATAATTTTCTAAAAACTGCACAATCAGAAGATAGGGGCAGGCCTTTCCCAGAGTGTCTTTCACCAAATAGTCTCCCACCTGCCTGTTGTAAATTGTGTCCTGGGCTGGCAGGCCAGGGATTACCAAATCCAAAATGCAGAGTCATGTGTGGTGACTAGAGCCTGGGTTTTTTTTAGCAACAAATAACTCTTGGGGGTTTTTTAGCTTTCAATGCAAGCAAAGTGTCAGCTGAACTGAAGGAGGGTATCTCCAGTGCAGCGTCACCTGGTTATAGCTCCGCTGCACCTCAACAGCTCATCCTGTAACTCATCCTCTGGAGAACAGACCCTGCTGGGCAACACCACCCTTGCTCCTCTATCACTCCAAGGTACCCTCTCTGCAAAGCAAGCGATGGTGCTAACACTCCCCTCCGAGGGGCAGGTATGCCTTCCGTCACCCAGGATGGCAACAGCCAGGCCAGCAGCTGCCCCAGGTACGGTCACAAACGCGTCTCCCCTCTCCCAAGACTACACTGGATCCATCTCCCTTCCTCCCTCAAGAGATGGCAGGGAAGTGCAGCCAACAACAGCCATGCAGCAGGCTGTGGGACGCTCTGGGCTCTCTGCCACTCACTAGGATAGGCGTCATGGAAGATTATCCTCCTGCCAGTGAGGGCTGGCAGCTACTCAGCCCACAGAGCCATCTCTATTCTCACTAGGATAGGCGTCATGGAAGATTATCCTCCTGCCAGTGAGGGCTGGCAGCTACTCAGCCCTCAGCCCACAGAGCCATCTCTATCGGCCTGCCCTCAGGCACCGCATTTTCTCTCCTCCCTGTTTCAGGAACGACAAACTGTTTTCTCCTTAGCGCTCTTGGAGGGTGTACCTTCACTGCCGGGAGGTAACAACTGTCCTCTGGAGTTAGTGGCCAGTACCGTACTTGCTGCTCAAACCGACTTGCGAGATCAGTGTCATTCAGACTCGTGCAAAGGCCAAACCAATCGGTCTACCTGGTGAGGAAGACGCTGATGAGGCTTCTTCCGTCTTGATGAATTCTTCTGTCTCACTGCTGTTTTCTTCTCTAGATATGCTCATGGCTGTCATCTGATAGGTCACAGGAGTCTGAGCACTGGGAGCATTTCCAACAAACAAACCATAGAGCAAACAAATAATTTCTTTTGATGAAGAGTTAAGTGGGAGAGATCTTCAACCCATACAGTTAATTTCATTATACTCAGAGGTAGCTCAGGAGTACAGCAGGCCAATTCCCCCTGAGATTTGGGATCAGAGTTCTCTATAGACATATGGAACGAATTTGTGATGATCTCAGTTTCCTTTTTCACCCAATTACATCTCAAAGCCAAGGCAACAGCCCATCCAAACAAGCCTAGGGACAGGGAAACAGGTATGAGTCAGGACTGTAATGCGATGATAGAGCTCAATGCCGTACCACATCAATACGTCTTCCTTCCTACCAGACATGACCAAGGTCCCTAATCTTGCTGTCGCAGCTTCCAGACTGGATCATCACCACGAGCTTTCACTTAGGACCAAGCTGAAACCCAACAGTTTAACACAGCTAGTGACACAAAAGGTGCACTGGCTCTAAGAGAATGAGGATGCCACTTAAAGCTTTAATTACCACCGACCCTCTGGTACCTACCTCTACACATCAGTCATCATCATCAGGGACATCTCAATCTTCCAGATAAATCAGGGTCACCATGAACAGTGTTTGATCCAGCCCACTTCACAGATCCCCTTGGCCGCAGCCTATGACCCTACCTGGCTTTCGCATCCTCAGGCGTGGAGTCTCCCTCTGCATGCTGCCCTGCAACTGAGTCTGAAGCCATGGGGCTGCTGGTGGGACCGCTGGGTGCTACGAGACAAGATCACAGCCTTGGTAAAGTCTTTAAGAAGTTCCTGGGAGCTTGACAGACAAGGAGAAAGCAGGATGAGTACTTCCAGCAGGCTTTAACCTCCTGCTCCCCACCAGGAGCTGAGAGGGTGCACTCCGGTTGGGATCACTCTTAGATTCCCTATTTTTATACTCATCCCTCCAAATTTGTGCATAGGTCTCTGTGGGGATAACACCTCAGGGCTGGACTCACTGTGACCCAGTGCAGCTATTCTTACAATTGATCAGGAATGACTCCTTGTATCAGGATCACAACATCCCTCTGAAATTAACTGCTCATCTTCCTGAGTGCTGCAGGCCTTGCCTATGGAGATCTGTTTGCTCCTCAGGATCTGCAAGCTCCCTTTTGAGGGACAAGGGTTATTCATAGGAGTTACGTGCTGAATGCCTTCCACTACTGTGTGGTTTTTCAACAGCTGGTAAAATCTGACTTCAGTCACCCACGACACCTCCATCATCCTTTGATTCCCTTTTTCCTTTTGCAAGGCAAACTCTGCATCAGCACAAATATCCTCCTGCCAGTATAAATGAAAGTGCTGCAGTTACCAACATCCCTTGAACCCAGCGTTACTTTGCAACTTCTCCAAGGTATGAGAACCAGATCCTCATCTGCCGGAAGGAACTGGCTTCGATCGAAACGTGTTGGTTTACGTCAGCCGGGGACCTAAGTCAGGGTCTTTAGAAAAACCCTTGCCAGGAAGAGATATATTCCCAATATATATTTTGGGTGGGAAATTATTACACTCAGGAAAAAAGACTGTGTAAGATCTCTAGAAGGCACTTCTCAAAGCATTGTCCTGTCCATGGGGCACCTCCACAAACTCTCAGCAAAACAAAGTCCTGCTAATGACGGAAAAAGCATCCTTTCTGTGCACCTAGCTGCCTCCCAGCTGGGTGATATGTCAGCTCTGGTTAGCTGCAAGAAACAAACCTTCTACTTCCTTGCTGTGATTATCAACTCTGTTAAGATTAAGAAAATTATGCAAATCCAAAAGGCCAAATTCTTCCCAAATAAAATTTCATTTCAGGCATCTGTTGTGGTTCCCAGCAGTCAGCATAGAACAGCTAAAAATTCGGGCCACTGTTAGCACAAGCAAAGTTTTAGAGATTGCTGAAAGGTGTTGGCTGGGACTGGACTTCACAAGCAGCTGCGACAGGAGAAAACAACTGACCCCCTTACAGGGCGCAGAAGTGCTCAAAGGCTCGGGTCTACATGAAAAAGGAAAGACATGAGTTCTCCAGGAGGGAGTAAATCGCATCATGGTCAGTACTAGTACGATGCTCTATCCCAGTTGCTTAACACAGTTTGCATCCAGCTACCCATTTAAGACAGATTTCCCAGACAAAAATCCTCTACCTGGGGGGCTTATCCGGTCACTGCTCTGCTGTCTCTGTAGAAACTCCTTGTAGCAAACGGAGCACATCCCGTTGGTCCGGGGGCTGCCATAAAATCCACAGCCTGTGGTACACAACAGAGGCACCTGGGTTTGGTTTGTCTCCTGAGCCATCCTCTCTCCTCCAAGATGCCAAGCTACAAACAGGAATAAGACCGAGACAGCTGTTAGGGCTGGAACGCTCGTTCATTGTACGCTGCAGCTGACCAGGAAGGAGCACAAAGGATCCCGAGAGAGCCCGGTTCCTGCACATGCAAACACGATCTGAGACCCTTGAGCACAGGATATCCAGGGCTTGTAACCAGCCCCAGGATCCGGGTCCTGGGGCCTTGAGCCATCCAGAGCTCAGCTGCTGGGAGGCTGCCCAGAGACAGGCTGAAAAGCTGACAGGAACCACATCCCAGTACCCCCTCATCACACCATGAGGCTCCCCGTACCCTTTCCTCACACCACAAGGCTCCCTAAACTCCTGGAGAAAGACAGGCAGGTCAGACCCTGATCCGCTCTCCAAGAGTAACAAGAAGTGCTGCCATAGCATGACTAACGACTCCTGCAAACAAAGAATGCCACTCAGACGGCCAGCATCCAGCCTAATTAGTTACATTTTGCACTTAGCGTTTGTTTTCATTTCAAGCCTGTTTTACTTTTTTAGTTCTCAGGAAGATGATGTAAGTGACGCAAAAGCAGCCACTGACTCAGTTCTGACACACTAGCGGATAAGGGAAACGTTAGCATAGTTAGGCTGGAAATAAGAATAAGGTTTCTTCCCAGCAGCAAGATGCGATTCTGGAGTGCCTTCCTGGGGGAAACAGCAGACACAGTGAAAACTACTTTTAAAATCTGCCTTAGTAATTTCTCGCTGGATCACAAGCAGTTGTCTCCAGACCCAGGAACCGGCTCTTTCCACCACACATGCTGTAGCATTTACAGGGCCAAAGTGCACTGCATCCCTTCAAACCAGAACCATAATCAATAACTCCCGGCAACAACAAAAACCAATTCAGATGTGTGTGAACAACGCAGCCACAGCTGGTCCAGCTCCGGGAGAGGACAAGGGGAGCGGATGTTTGCGGGACCGCGGCGGTGCAGGCGGCTCCAGCTCAGGCACAAAGACATGGCATTGGTACCGGGAGGCCCCAGCAGCGAGATCCCCTTGTTCCAGCACGGCAGATACACGAAGTACCCACCACTTCCCAGCTACCTCTGCCACTTTCTTTGACACTGCTACAAAACTTGCTGCGCTGAGGGAATAAAACTACGGGAACATGAAACAATTGTCCTCCCAGGAGCACTCGCATGGAATGAAGTGGATCAGCTCTGCTTTATTCTTCCTTGTCCTCAGCCGGGTGATATCAATCTGCACTCCGGGCTCAGACCAGCGTTCCCATTACCAGACCAGCGTTTCCAGTACCAGACCAGGATTCCTTCCCAGCCCAAACTAACCTCTCCTTCGGCGCCAGCAGCCAAGGGAGCCTCCTCCACACCGGACGCTCCAGGAGCAAACTCACAGGCTGAATCCTCGCGGAGGTAACCAGATGGTAACCACTGCCCCGAACAGACAAATTTTCAGGAGTTGCTTCTGATTTTGAGCGTCCCTGGAGAGAGAAGGCGACGACTGCCGTGACTCGGGACGAGTTCAGCTC